CCACCCGGACTGTTATCCTATTGTACATCAACTGAGGGCGGTTGGCATGTAATTTTTTCAAACGAATATAAAGTACTATAAAATGAGAACCGTACTTGTAGTAACTTCAGAGGAGACAAAATGAAACTTTTCATCCAAAGAGCTGAGGTTACGTGAGCTACAGCAGTCTATACAGAAGATCCCGATGATTGAAACTCGGGGGAACATGAATGGGAGCTTAGAGGCAGTGTAGACGTATACATTTTTTTCTCAGTTCTAAGCGTTGTTCTGAAAACCAGTGACTACTCTGATCAGAAATATCAGTGTTTCATCTTTTCTTTTTTTTTTTCTTTTTTTTTTTTATCTCTTTGACGTGAGAGAGATCGGTATCGGCCGTTGCATGTACGTGTCGTAAATACCGTGTCTGCAATTTTTGGGGGGGGGGGGTATTTTGTTACGGCCTGAATTGATTGTTCAAAATAATCATACTTCGTTCTTGATCTCCGTCGAATCGACTTGTGGCAAGACCTTCAGCAATTTGGCCCAGAACTCAGCTTCTCCAAAAAGAGTCGCCGTGACCTGAAATGTTTAAAACAATAAAATGATTGACTTGCTTGACCTTGTTATTAACTAATTCATTCAATTGGATTTTTTAAATTCATGTCAGTGAGCCCTCTTACACTTGTCCCACTTCTGTGGAAGACTGTCTCGATCGGGAAGACAAAGAAATGCCAAACTGGATGAAGAAATTGAGCGTCCCAGAGCTTTCCTATGGTCTATTGGTGGCAGGTCCGTATGACCTATCACATATTTTTCTATATTAACTACATATTACTAGACTGTATTCAATTTCAACCCTTTAAAGGCCAAATTCGATTCATATTACTCACCAGAGCTACGCCGAACCTTCAGTGTTTGATGGCTAAGGGTGGTTGAAACTGAAGTCGAATCAGAAAAGTTCTTAATATTATTCTTTTGTGTCCATGAATCATTTCTGTCTACCGTCTTAGCTTTTTTTTCCCAAATCTTTCTTTTTTCCAGTCTGAACACAAATATATTTTTTGTTTAGTTGCAGTTTTCTTGAAGTAGAAGAGTGAAGGGAGAAACGGGTTTGACTTCAATGTTCTTTCCCAACTGTTCTCACCTTCTCTCTTCCACTCTGTCTGTCTGTCTGCCCCTCTCTC